TTTTAATGTAAGTAGGTAATATCGTTTACGATCTGATGGCAAACTGCGTTAGCAGTACCCGTGATCACACGCGTTGACATTCCAGATGACTAAGATGTCTTATTTCATATTCAGTTTATTAACCAATGTAAAAAACTTTCATATATGGCAAGTCATAGTATACAGTAATTATATTTATATATTTGTCATTACTCTTATATCATGTAATTTCACTAATTGAGTACCCTACAACGAAATGCAGCTTACTTATCAAGCTGCTTGACTGCTGCAATTGTACTTGCTTACCACATCAACATGTCAATTTTGATCTTGTGATCGGGGGTAACTCATCGAAATATCTTATCTTATCTCAATAATATTATGAACGCGAATGTTTGCAAGTATATTTGGATGTTTGTTACTCGTTCACGCAAAATCTACTGAACGGATTTTCATGTAATATAGCTTATGCACAGAACAACTATGGCTATATTTTTTATTGAAATTTAACGGGTGAAACTACGGGCACAGCTAGTACTATATATGTCGAGGAAGTACTCTATAGTTCGAAATTTAAAAAAGGGAGGGATAGGGTTTACCATGAACAAGTTCACGCATTTCTTCTGCATACTTAGTCTACGACATCCCTCTGTGGACTGTGTGATATGGATGTCCTACATCCAATAGACTACGTGGTGTATGAGTCATTTGAATATTGAGTAATATGCATATACAGAGCGATTGTTACCGTGAAAATATTTTAACTATGTATTGTTATCGAATAAGGGGATGGAATGTTGGCCTAAAAAGTGCGGATTCAAGACCGCCTGGATTTTTCTACTTGTTATATATAAAAATTTTAATGGTTTAAAATTAAAAAGTCTTGGAGATATTTCTACTCACTCAATATATAAATTTAAACGAATTTAAATTATAAAAAGCTGAAAGTTAATCAGATTGAAGTATTTTCTGTTAAATTTATATTAATAATAAACTCTACATTTATGTGATAAGTAAAATATTATACTTAATTATACTTTATTATTAATACACATATACATTTTTAATTTCACTGTAATTCTTTACCTACTAAGCTCGCAGGCCTATATCGTACAAACTGGTGTGACTAATGTTGTACATTCTTTACCTAACTTGTTTGGTTGTATTACTAGTTTAGTAATAACATTATTGAATAATAATACATTAAACTAAATAATACATATATTATATAAATAAAATAACTGCGATTATCGGGGAGTTATTTTCATAATATTATTATTGTGATATATTTTATCATTTATATAAAGTGTAACGAAGTTCTTACATGCATTTTCTTATGAATATGTATATGTATATCTATAGTAACAATATAAAGTTTAAGAGTTTATTTTGTGGAATCCCTTAAATTTAGGTACGAACTGAAAATGTTTGTATAGCCCAAGTTGTTTTTGTATAGACCATTTATTGAGAAAGGCTATTTAACCTCATGCTACTAATATTAGCGGTGTATCTCTAAAGAATAGAATATCAGACAGTAGAATATATAGCTATAAAAACCTAGAACAATACAAACCATTATTTATAGATATAAAAATGTTAATCTCTTCCGAAAATTGAACCTGCGATTATCAGAAGGAAGGTAAAATGTACAAAACCGCTATACCACCGATGCCGTCAATAATATAATAAAATTAGTATAATTTATTCATTACAGAATATGAAGTGTTTGTCCAAAATTAAGATTCTTAAAGCGTTTTAAACGCATTAGTTAGAACCACCAATAGGTTTCAAGAATATAATACTCCTTAGAAAACGGTAAAAATCTCCAATTAGATATAACTATGAGCTATTAATACCACATAAACGTTTTTATTTACAACATATGAAGTTTTTTCTATGCAATTGAAAATAAACTTTACGCTGCCCAATTACATATGGAAATTCAACAATCTAATCAGATCCCAAAACCGTGGCCAATCTATTTACTACGATATTATGATTGGTTTCTTATGACGTCTGTGATACGTTATACTTCCTTTACTTCTAAGTGTTAAAACCTAATATAAAGCTATACCTATTAATATATAACTAACAACTCTCAGCTCAGTTACAATGCTCCGGGTTTTACGTGTGCCCATGGTCAACGGTAATCAACTACAAAAAGGTGTGCCGCAATTTTGTTTGCCCTGAATGCTGTAATATATATATATATATATATATATAAATTTAATAAAAAAACTATTTTATTAAATGAATCAAATTTGAATATTTAATTATTGTGTATTAACGTCTCTACATGATTCCTTTGTAACAGTGAACTCTAGCCTTAGTAGATGGGCCACTTCCGTCGAACAAGACGTATGGCAATTGATAGTTATCTACGTAAACCAATGTTGACTTTATGAATTCATCTCTACGGTTCAATTTTCCAAAGCTACAGTAGTCAAGTGCATTTAAAGCTCCCTTAATTAAATATATTTGCGTTGGAAGTAATATTTCATAGTATTTTATTGTAATAGGATAGCGATCATTCGAGGAGTTCAATCTACGTCAATTAAATTATGGGTCAATTATTTTTAAACCAATCCATGAAAACTATGTTAGATCTACTCTTTCAATGTGTTTCTTTAAAAACAAATGGACACATGCGAAACGCCTATCCTTTTATATTACACTCTATCTCACCTATATCAGATGCCAAGCAGCTTGGTTTGTAATCTGTATTTCGTTTGAAGAGTGAGAAAGGCGCAGTGAAATTACTGGATATAGAGGCATGGTATCTTATTCCTCTGCAATGGCATGAATAAGAGTTTTTTGATAGCCTTTATGTGTGTACAAACGAGTTCGCGGCTCAACAAACTTTTTTCTTGAAGGCTTCAATATCATATCAAAGTAATACTGCAGGGTATTACATGATATAATGATCGTAATGCTGTTTACAGATATAGCCAATGGTTGCCGCTATCACTGTTGGGTTACGAATCCGTACAAAGATTAAATGAAAATAGAAAGTGGACTGTATTTTGTGTATATTTATTTGAACAGCCCAATATTTTTTATAGTCCTTATGTATATACAAACGAGTTTGTGGCTTAAAATTTTTTTTTCTTGAAGGTTTCAATATCATATCAAAAGAAAAGGAAGGCGAAATACGATTTCGTCTAGGAAGAACGTCTTCCACACTCAGTACTCGAACAGCCTAAAGTAACACCAAACTTACTTACCTTTGCTCAGAAACGTCTCAATGTGTAGTTTAATGGCCACGCAACAATTTTATTATTTTAATCAAATCAATAAATTTCGTGTATTAAAATAGATAAAATATGGAGCGTTCTTTTTCTTCCAATTCAGATTTATTTATTTGATATGTAAAACAGGTTACATTTAGCTCGTTAATTACATAATTATAATTCAATAGTAAACATTAACATAAATCATTAAGATATATTGTTATTTGATTTTAACATATATTCTTTGATAAAATGGATTATTTTCAAAAAATTACTTCTTATATTTCAAAATTGGTACTTCGGCTATTTCTTTTGGCAATCTGTTATACATTATTATCTTCAATGGCAACCCCTGCTTGATAGATTTTGCTATTCTTTCTTTTTGGTATAACAAGTTTGTCTTTATTTCTTGTGTTATAATTATGTATATCTAATGAATACAAGTACGCTGTGTTGTCAACTATGACTGCCAAATATGAGGCGTTAAACACTGTCACATTAGAAAGTTGATCCGATATGGCAGAGAAATGGCGGCCATCTGATCGATTGTACTTTCTTCCAGATTATTGCCACGGGGCATAGATTATAAATTAGCGTATTTCGTGGAAGAATGAAAGTGAGGTCTCTGCATGCATTTTATTTGTTTGTAAATTAGAAAAAATATGAGGAAAGATTATCTATATATTGTTTTGAATTTATTAATAGGTACTTTCATCAGTCATCATACAATATACATACATACATAAAATGACTAAATATTATAAATGTGAAAGTCACTTTGTATAGTTTGTTTAGGGTTCAATGCTTAATTAATCGTTATAAAATTTAGTAGACACTTTATATATTTAGGATGGAGATGAATATATTTTTTAATTGAATCAATTGATTCGTCTCGGATTTTTAATCTCATGCACAACTAGCAAACCTTCAATATTTTTTGTAACACCTAAAAATTTTGTTATCATTTAATTCGGCTTTGACTATGTTTATTTATCTTTTTAAAAATCTTTTTGGAATTTTAGTAGACAGTTAATATATTTGCAAATTATTGCTTATGTCTTTTGATTTCTTGTAAGAAACTTATATAAGATTTCTATTTTATTTTCTTGACTACTTTTGTCAATCTTCAGTCCCCTTTGATTTTTATCTTTGTTGTTCAATCTTTTATGTCGTCATCAAAAGGCAATTTGACTGAAATAATATTTTCACAAGTCATCCTAGTCATTTCTAATATACCGGAACAATTATTACTTTAGTTAACCTGAAAGCTTTTATCTTCAATCGTATTATACGATTACTGTACTATTTGCATATATATATTTATTGTCAGTGTCTATATAAAGTGAACTGAACTTTATTATTACTTCTAAAGATGATATTTGTTTGAGCTTAGGACGGTACCAGGATGTTCGGTCCAGTATGATCATTTAGTTATTATTATTAGTAAAACTAAATAGTGATTAGATAGCAATCCCTGACAATCTAACGTGATTCCCATGGCTATTAATGAATAATGAAATATTCTTTAGTGTCATTATGATAGTCAATTTACTATTAGTTATATGAAAAAGTTGTAAAATTTAAACAATGGAAGATTAGGTAGTTGTCGTTTAATGTTATTTTACGGAATGCAGACTCATTAAATTGTTATTAGTCACTAATTGACAACAAAATCTATAGGAAGTAATTTTGTTTCTTATATGCAAGTCACTGAAGTTTAAAATTCTCTGACATGTAAGAAGATCTAACGATAAGTACTATTTTACTAAAGGAAATGTTTATTTGTTACAGGTAGTTCCACTGATTTAACACATACAGTGATAGGCATCTACGACTCTTTACTGGAACCAGGAAAAAGCCTGCGGCCAGAAGAAAGTCGGCTTGAAACAGCCAAAGACGCTAGAAACGATCCTCCTGTAGAACAGAATATAAAAGACACAATGACTAATGAAGACGTCAATGTGGAGTTTTCAATATCAGATAAACGTCCAGTAGATCCTTCGAGATTAGCTGGCAGTGTAAAACTTCCTATTGCTGCAATAAATAAAAGTTCTCTTTATAATAATCGAACTAAAAGTGATAAAAATGGTGCTAGTGATGAATTGAATAAGTGTAATAATATTTCCAGTGATACAGTTAGTAAGGATAGTCAAATACAGAGAAGTTTTAAAGAAACAAAATTTTCTGATATGTCCACATTTGACAAACTTTCGCCAAATGTAAAAAGGATGATATCGAGTGCGACTGAGACGACTACATTGAAATTTCAAAGAAAAACTGTAAATGTCGCAAGATCATCGACAAGACACAAATCAAATATTCCTCTTGTTGGGGCTACGTCAAAAATATCACAATCAGGTGTCGAAATTTTACCAACAATGGAAATTTATGATCAACCAAGTGATTTACGGAATATTGGCAAACTTAGAACAGGAAATTCTAATCAAGTTCTGCCAAAAACGGCTGATACTGAGATAAATATTAAATCTGATAATGACGAAGTATGTTACGATGTCCCTAAAAACAACTGTCCGATTATTTATGATGTGCCTAGTGTCAAAAACAAGACTGCATTTGAATCTTTATCGTTGCCTTATATTGATCAATCAATCGAACTTTCTATTTCCACTAACGATAGAGAATTCGATACAAATTTATCATCAAAAGAGAACTCTCCACAGAAAACGGAAACAAAAAGTCCGTCACCTGAGGCGAGTCCTGCTAAGTTTCCGAAAGTAAATAGAGGAACTAATAGCTTGTGTCGGAAAGACTTTACGAGGTTAGAATCTTCGGCGAAAAAGCTATCAAAAACCGAAACTTATCCCGAAGAAATAGGGTCTACAGGTAATTTGAAAAGTTGTGCAGTCACAGATAAAGACGCAACTAGGTTGAATGCACCTTCAGTTGAAGTGTCGCGACCGCTATCCATGAGTTCCATTGCTTCTTCAAGTTCGACGTCGAGCAGTGGTGTTCAAAATAAAGGTGGAGTGAATTCGGCGTACTTAGCTTCTATAGAAAGTTTAGATGATCATAGTGACGCTGATATGACGTCGGCTAATGGAAGCAACAACTTTGTAAATAATGCTGGTATTTTGAACACTAGCGTGTCCGAAGAAGGAAATCCGGACAGCATGCCACGTAAGTGCTTTATTTAAATTTCCCTGTATGCTAACTTTATTATTTATTACCTGTATGTGACGGCAAGTTTCCTTATCAAATAGCAATTAATATTTATAAACCTAATACAAGTTTATATAGCAGCTGGACCTGCTATTTCATCTGCTTAAGTTTTTAAGACTGAAAGGGTATCATAAAAAATAATTAATAAAAGAATTTAAGGCATATGAATATTAAATTATTATACTTGAACAATGTCAATTGGACTTAATTTTACATGCAAGTATAATATAATCATTATTAGTACACATGTAGTTTGTATATAGTTTAAAGTATGTATATAATGTATTTTTTAATTATTATTTCTACTGTGTTTTATTTTCAAGTTCAACTGCAAAAGTGTTTTCAAAAAATATAACGCCATACTAATATTATAAACGAGAAAGTGTGTCTGCGTATTTGTTACCTATCACGACTAAACGTCTGTATAGGATTTTAATGAAATTTGATATGAACATAGATTGTATCATGACGATGTACATATGCTATCTTTTATCTACAAAAAAAATAGACGAAGTAGCACCTAATTATAAAATCTTTATCTCTATAAAATCTTTAGTAATTTATATAATTAAATAAAATAGAACATAAATCTCTGGACTCGTGTCATGTATTTATAACTTGATAGAGTCTTTCATATAAAAATCTTGTATATAGGACGACAGGAGAAAGTAGGTGCTAATGTACAAGCATGGCATATTCTAAACAAGCTATTGTATTTTTCTTAACCTTAGAATGAAGGCAACAATACATTGAAACGAATAACTTTAATGATCTCCTTTGTGAACGATATTTGTAGTTAGACTCATCTAGTCATCTTTATTGTCATTATATTATTGTTAAGTCTTTATATTATATCATTCGTTGTTATTGTCACGGTGATTAATGTTGATGTAATATGATTTAAAAAGGGCAAATTTTTGCTTATATCTATAAGCAAAAATAAAGTATAATATGTCATTACAATTTAAATATGATAGCGAGGAGTTAATATACTCATGACATGGTGCTAATGGATTCATCAACTGTTTAATGAAAACAATCTGATTATTTTGCAAATTTTCTATAAAAAAAATTCTATAAAAACCGTCCGTCCATTTATATTAAACTAAGCTTAGCATTCCCCCAGATATTTTGTATCAGTAATTTTGAGAAATTTCTAAAAAAAATTATGAATTTAAGTAACAATAACAACTCAAGACAATTCACAATACAAATATTTACCATGCAAGGAATCGAACCCGTAGCCATTGGAAAGTAAAGCGGTGTGCTAAACCGCTAGATCTCTGAAGCCGTCAATTCAAGTCTAGTTTAAATTTATTTACATGCAATAGTTACTGCAACTTTTTTTATAAATAAGATAATACGTTAGGTTACGTTAATTACTCATATTTATTTAAAAATGTCAGTTCGTCTGTTGTACAAAATAATAATTATCTTATTTCCAGGGCTTCAAGTGATGGACGAGATGCCGGGACTGTCGCAACTGGAAAGAGTTTGTGCTGAAATTGTACAGACTGAAAACGTCTACGTGGAGGATTTACGGCAAGTTGTCGAGGTAATTAACATTCTATTTTTTTTAATAACTACACATAATCTTACATTTGTATATGTGTTTTTAACATTTTTTTAGCATCGCGAACAATCTGACGGTATCCTATATGTTGTATGCTCTACTGGATAATCAGAAATGTTTTTTTTCTAAAAGTTTATTTTAATTTATAGTTCTTTTATTGTACATTCATGTTTATACTTCAATGTCTTGACAATAGTTCCTAATACATATCTCCACATTCCAAGTCTTTTACTGTATATTCTTTTTATCTATATACATATAAAATAAAAGTACATAGCAATTTTAGACCAGACCGTACTGTTCTTTTGAAATTAAAATACGTCAATCAAACGGCACCGTTGGCACGAGCAGTTAGTCTCTTATCGAAAATGTATGGATAGAGTTAGTTCTTTAATTAACCACATAATACGGAATTAATATGTTACAAGTGAAATTGAAGATCATAAAAATATGCGAAGCGACACATTCCAATGTCAGTAGGTCGGAATTACATTATAGAGTAGACCAGCTGATGGAAAGTGGCGGAATCAATGCATTGCAACGGTTTTGTATTACTTTAATTTCTTTTAGATAGAGTCCAGAGCAATAATTCTCAACGTGGCGCCCACGCCCCACAGGGGGACAATTTGATTGTTAATTAAATTCTAAAGTTGGCAATTCTAAAATAGAGTCCATTTTCGAATTGAATTAAAATTATATGAAATATGAATTTCGATTTATCATTATATGTTTTAAAAATCTATTTTTTTTAATAAACAATTTCGTAGTGATTTCTTCCTAAAGCCTCTTATCTAAGTTTCTTAAGTGAAGAATATTTTTTTATGTCGTTAATTATGTATGTTATATACGAAGGGGGGGGGGGGGGTGGTGTCATAAGAATTTTAGAAAAGCTATGTGGCATGGTGTATGGCACTAAAAAGGTTGGGATACACTGGTCTAATGTAATACAACACTCGAGAAATTTTGTGTTGCCCCAAAAATATAAATACTCACTAAAACACGTGATGGACCATTTCCTTGTTTTCCATTCCATTTCCTCGCCTTTGTAACATTAGTTAGTTACGTTCTAAATCGTCTCCAGTTAACTATTTTGAAATATTAACTATTTTTGTATTGCGTAACATTTTGGTTACAGTGAGTTGTTTGTAGATTAGCACAATTTAATATAACGGATAACTGTTTGTATTTTTAGAAAAACATAAATAACGTATGTCTATTAGGTCTGAAGAAAATAAGAAAAACTAAATATATTACATACCGGCTAAGATCTAGTATTGAACAAACACAAACTGAACAAACAAACAATTATTATTGTAGAAATAATATAAAAAGAAGAAAAATATGATTTCTTGTTTGTGATGGACCAACTTAAAAAAATCTTATATAACATTTTGAAATTCAAAATTACATATTTTTAAAAGCGGTGGCAAGGGGGCATGCCAATTAAGGATTTAGGTGGTTTAGTTTCTATTAATGAATGATAATAGAGTAGCACACCCGCTAACGTTATACGCTGGCGGGGCAGTGGAAGATGGATAGGTTGAACCTGAAGTCAAATCAGTTAGCCCCATAGTCGCAAATACATCGGGAACTAACCATAATGGTTTCCTAGGTCTACCTAGGAAACCATTCAGTCTACTGTATGAAAGTGGACCTGCGTGATACATTGCTAGCGATGCGTTCTCTAAACCATATAAGAATCCCCTTTTCCTAAGGGAGGGTTAGTTATTATTAATTATTATGTAATGCATATGTATTTACCATTCTAAATAATGGTAACTTTTTATTACACTTATATAGGTGTAGGTAGAACTTGTTTTAATATAAATGAAAGTTAGCCACATTAACATCGATAACCAGAAGTGGGTCGGTTTGTTTGTACGTGTGGGTCACTGGAACGGTGGTTGCTACCCCAACGCGACCTTCTACTTAGTAATTTATGGTGCTACCTTCGAATAAATTGTTAGCGTGTTTTTAATGGATTGTTTGTATTTAATGGCGAATTTATGTGTTGATAAAGCAATTTTATGGGTGCTCAAATGTTGAAGGTGAGCTCTTAATTGAAGTAGCCATTTGGTCTGAAGTATAGTCTCAGTAAAGACTTCAATGCAATCCAGTTTAGCAATAATCTAAATTAAAACAAATAAATTATTAATAAACAATCCCTGGATATTTAACACAGCGCCTTTTAGTCCCACGGTAAGCAGAGCTTGTGTTATGGGTACCCAGTAGTACCTACTAGACAAGACATTAACTATCATACTAATGATTACAAATGTTTACACAGCGTGAGGAATCGAATCTTCGATTAATAACTCTATCTTCTATGGAAAGTCCTGACGATTTCACTAGGACCAACCAGAACGGGTTGATGAGTTGAAAACCGATGGATTTCGGTTACCGACGGGTTCGGTTACTACTGATGCGATTTTGAAAAAACTGGACAATTGTTGGATAGCCTATTTATCGAGGAAGGCTATAGGCTATATAACTATATAACATCACAGTACGGCCAATGAAGCGGAGGGTAATTTATAATATTGCAAAAATGGGGTACATGTGACGCAGGCAGAAATTCTAATTACTGAAATATAAATTTTGTTTAGAACAGTAAACGTGAAAATGTAAAAAAGTAGTAGATGTCTAAGATATTGGCTAGGCTTAGTTTGGGCTCCAGATCTCCCATAAGTTATATTTACAAATACCTGTTCTTGACGTAACTTTGTCCGCGAGGATTATAAATTTATTTTTCTAAAATAAAAGTAACTAAGTTACTCCTTATTACATTAGTTACCTGCCAAAAAAAATTCCGTCAAAATCGGTCCAGCCATTTCAGATATTAGACAGAACAAACAGACAGACAGACAAAAATTGTAAAAAATGTTATGTTGGTGTATGCATCGTACCGTATTTATCTTCATATGCATGTAGTAAAAAACGGTAATTTCAATATTACAAATTTATTTATATGTATAGATTTCTATAAATGGCATTTATATAATTTGAAACTGGCATTATATCATTTGTCTCTACAAATTATATAAAAAGTTGTTAAAATGACACGATTTGCATAGCGTGCAGTAGTGACCTAATTATGATGATGCGGCATGCAACATGAACTGCAGTAAATTACGGCGATGTAATTATAAATATTGATTACAAATGCACTTAGCATTATTAATAATATATAATAATATTTATATGACTAATGTTATAAACGCGAAAGCTCGTGAATATGAATGGATAGATGGATTTGTTTGTTTGTTACTCTTTAACGCATACTACTGACCGGATTTTGATGAAACTTTACAGTAATATAGCTTATATATCGGAATAACAGATAGGCTATAAATTAAAAAGATAATATTCATTCACTAATTCATTTCGGTTGATCAAATAACATATTAAGTATCTATTTAAACTCAACAGTCTCCGATTCAACCATAAAAATCAATGTTAATTGTGAATAACAAATAATTAGTTAAATTACCTACTACTGTATCTTTATTAGCATTAATTTGAGGGTAATCACGATATAATTAACGAAGCCTATAAATAGAATTAATAGATTTATACTAATTGATTACGGTATGGCTACCGAACCGTATATTTCGTCACGCACGCTGCCGCCGTACAGGTAAAATCACTCTTTCAACAAAAGTGGTCTGTCAAACCCACCTGTCAGTCAGAAGTGACAGCTGTCAAAGTGGCGTTTGTGTTTGAGTGCAAAGTGAAATGTGAAAATTGTAAATGCTACACACATTATTGCATTAGATATTTATACGTATATCTTCCAGACATTTCAAATAAAACTGATTTGAATAATCTATGCATTTAAAACGATTTAAGAGTATTATTTTTTGAAAATAGAATGGTAATTAATTTTTAAACCAGGTTTGCGTTGTTTCAGTAGCATTGTTTAGTATTGCATATTTGGAAGCAATTTTTTGCCATATCGCCAACAAATCAGCTTTAAAACTATGTAGCACAGTTTAATAAAAAACAACGAATACGATGGTAATTAAACTGCAAGTTAAACGTTATCTCCAGTTATCTGATACGCTGCAGGATTAGATTCAGCCTTAAAACTAGGTCACGTCGTGTTAAACAAGATTTAGGTAGTAGAGTAGGTACGTACCTAAAGTAGTTTCTTCACGAGCGAATGATTGTAAGGAAATTAAATTAGCAATACCTCCCTGGTATTGTCAACTAAATACACGTACAGATACGAGATTTTGACCTACTAAAATATGGTACGCTTCCCTGTTTTTTTGTCCCTAATTTTAAACAAATATGGGTGCATCCCTGTATATTGATTTTACTCTACGTTTTTACATAGAAAATATAGCCATACTTTGTGCCTTCGCTAGGTATAGAGTTCTAGCTTTTTTTGTATTCACCTTAAACAGAAACTCAAGTTTCCTATTTAAAACAGACTACTTGATCGGTCTTAGTAAACTGTACTACTACACTGTTATTGTGTAGTTCCGAACGAACTAGTTCGGGTGAGCGCTCCGTATAGATCATTCGCTCAATAGTTCATTTCATACAATACTTTTTTCTTTATATGGATTTGTGTTGGGTGTATCAATCCCCCATGGATTGGTACACTGCACAAACGGTATATAGTAAAATTAATGATAAGAAGAGCAGTCCATTGTGGCAAATTCAAGATGAATTAACCGTGATTATTTCCAGGAGTGACCGCTTGGAGGTCAACGGTATAGTACATTGTGAACTATGATGTTAGTACTAAAAATTCTCACTCCTCTTATTATAGAGGTCTTGCTAAAAGATTAAGAACACATTTGTATAAACGAAATGGAAGAACAAGAGCATACTTACTACATAGACTTTACGGTATTACATTATATTAAGTATTACAAACAAACATTTGAAGACTGAAAAACCAAAAGAGATCATATTTGCGCCTGAAAGGAAAGACAAATACTTATATATGCCTCCAGGTTAGCCAGTCTAAC